TGGGATGAATAATTCATAGAGTAGCTTAAAAGATTAAGTGAAGCAATATATGTAAAGTGGCTAGTACATTTCAAGCACTCAATAAATATTAAATGTCAGTATATTTTATTTCTTCAGGTACAAAATAAATCAGTGAATGAATCAGGAAAAATTAACTTTTCTATAGTTTTAAATATGAAGCAAGTGTTAGTCACAGTTTGAAAAGTAGAACAGAAAGGATAGGAGAAATTGAAGATATGGATAATTCTTATCCACTACCATTGAATCCCCATATGCGATAAACTTCAACTTCTTAATGGCTTAAAGCATAGCTAAATAACAGGCACATTTGTGGTGGAGCTCACGTAGAAGAAGCTATTGATGACTGCAAGGCACCAGGCTGTGGATACTTCACTCGACAATTAGATATTGTGTGCAGTGTGACTAGTCACACACTGACTGACACAACTACATCTTCCCCCACATTTGCACAGGATCTTTGAAAAATGGGGATCAAAATGTTTAGTAGAGTATTAAAAATTTAAATGGATGGGGAAGGTACCTAGAAGTTTTGTAACAGACATCCAACACGGTTAAATGGAAGAGAGATAGTACTTGTGTTCTGTAGAACAGTGGGGAGATTTATTATTGACAATAATCTCTTACATATTTTTGAATATGAAGGAAAACTCAATCAAAGTCTCCAAACAAATGTAACAATAAAGAGATGAACACATTACTCATCCTGATTTATTCATCACATACTGTATGCACGTCTTGAAATAGTTCAATGTACTCCATTAATAGCTATAATTATTTTATATTAATCAAAAAGTTTTAAAGTATTTAAAGAGATGGAAAGACTTGCTACTTTGATATGATCATTATACATTGTATAAATCTATCAAATTATTACATTATACTCTGTAAATTTGAACAATTAGAATCATTAATAGGTGAAGAAAAAGGATCCCAGTATCATCTCCTGCTTCATATGTGCATGGAAGAAAAAGCTGAAACAAACAGAAAGTCAGTGTATAAACTGAATTTATGCTGTCCTTAATAGCATATTGTTCTCACACCTCTTGATTTAGCAAATGTATCTGGAGCACTTATAACATGCAAATTCAATGCTAATTAGTAATCACAAAGTTAATGATCAAGCTTAGACTGATGCATACATTCACAAACAAGTACATATACTTACAATCAATTGGAAAACAAATATTGAACAAAATGAATAAGTCAAGTGGATGTTGACAGGTCGATGTGATGAAGGAGGATATTATAGGTAGGTTAAAAAAAAAGAATAACATGATGAAATGTCAAGAGCATAAGGACATGAGACCTGGTATGTCTTTTTTCTTTGTCCTACAAAATTCCACCATTTATTAAGGTCTAATCGATATTATAAGCTGAATATCAATCCCCATATTTAGTACTCCCTGATTACATCCTTAATTTTTTTCCTTAAGATATCTGGAGCTTCTTCAGACCAGGGAAGCAAAAGTCTCAGTAAAATTAACACCCTAGGATCTCATTTACTCTTTGCCATCAGTAGTCAGTAAAATAGTTTGTTTCTAGAATAAAGGAAGTAAGGAAAATGAAAGAAATGGGGGTGAATTTAAAGCTTTAGGGTCAATGACTAGGTGAGATAACATAGGCATGTAGAATCATTGAATAAGTACAAAGCTTAAGTTTTGAGGAAACAAGATAATTTGGTAAATTTGGTATTAATAGCAATGCAACGTCAAAGTTAAGTAGGTTATGGCCCATGTTTCATACACAATATTCAAAGAAACATATTCAATTAAAGAGATTCACATGATGGCTTTGAATTTAAAAAGGAACATTTAACAGAGGAAATCCAGGGAATAATCTAACATGGGAGAAAGAAAGAATATATGTCAATAGAAAATGGAGGAAAATGTAAAAAGAGATTTAGAAGTGTTGTTAGCAGATCCCAGAAACAAAACAGAGAAGAGAAATGAAAGAGATTTGAGGGGCTGAGGAAATTGATGGCTCACTACATGAACTGCGTGTGGCACACACATGAGGACCTAACTTTGGGTCATCAACACCCACATAAAAACTCAGATCAGGTTATCAATATCAGCAACCCAGTGCTGAGAACATAGACAGAAAGAACTTAAGACCAATCAGTCAGTCAGTCTCGCGAACTAGAGTTCAGAGCTAGTGAGAGATCCTGCCTAAAAGTAATAATGTGGAAGGAAACTGAGGTAGACATCTATAAGTGCCCTCTGACTTTCACAGAACCATAAGAGCACATGAGTATGTGCACACGCACACACACAAACACACACCACACACATATGCAGACAAACACACAGAGTGGGGAAGATGTATTGCATTTATAGCTCCCATGGTTACCTGATTCCATCAAAATTAGTTTCAGGAAATCAATATATCTAAATAAAAATTTTCATCCATCATATCACGTAACTGAATATACTCAAAGTGATAGATCAACAGCTTTAAGAAGAAAGGGTTTAGCTAGGTGGTGATGGTGCACACCTTTAATCCCAGCCTCAGGAGGCAGAGGAAGATGGATCCCTGTGAGTTAGAGGCCAGCCTGGTCTACAAGAGCTAGTTCCAGGACAGGCTCCAAAGCTACAGAGAAACCTTGTCTTGAAAAAAAAAGTAGAAGAAAAGAAGAAGAAGAAGAAAAAGAAGAAGAAGAAGAAGAAGAAGAAGAAGAAGAAGAAGAAGAAGAAGAAGAAGAAGAAGAAGAAGAAGAAGAAAGGGTTTATATGCAGATATTTACACTATGATTTCCATATTGACATTGTTTTAAGCAAGAATTAATTATTTTATCTTCCTTATCACTTTATAACATGCAATTTTTGTATTAAGAACATTTTTACATCCCACCTGCAGCTTCTCCTCCCTCTTCTCCTCCTAATCTTCCCTCCATACCTCTCCTTTGCCTGCTTACTATCTACTCCTCCTCTGTTTCTATTCAGAAAATGTCAGGCCTCCCCTGAATAACAACAAGACATGGCATATCAAGTTGCAGTAAGACTACTCACCCCACTTCAACATTAAAGATGGACAAGGTAACCCCAAAATTTGAAAACACAAGTCACAGTTCATGCTGCAGAGGATGTGGAGCAAGGGGAACACTCCTCCATCACAGGTAAATGTATAATATGCAATTTTTAAAGCTTATTTTAATTAAGATTTCAAAAAAGTTTGAAGTTGACACCAACTATCTAAAACTAATGAAAAAATCATTTTTATTAATTCATTAATTAATTTGTGTTTGTAGTGGGCAGGGGTGACACACATGCCACTGCACACATGTCAAAACCAGAGGACGGTTTTGTAGAGTGACCTCTCTCCGTTCTTGCCTGGTGTGGGGATTTGAATGAGAAATGTCTCATGTAGATTTAGAAATTTGATCAGTAGTCCCCAGCTGGTGCACTGTTTGGGGAAGTGAAGAGGGCTCATCCTTGCTCAGAAGTACATTACTAGGGACAGGCTTTTATAGTCTAAAGCCTCATGTCACTTCCAGTTCATTCTCTCTGCTTGTGCTTGTCACTGAAGTGTGATTTCTCAGCTCCATTCTCCTGCTGCCATGCTTACAGCGGGCAGGTCCAGTTCCCTGCTATGATAGATTCTTATTCCTCTGGAAGTTTACGCTAAAATAAACTCTCTCACAATTCCCTTTTGGTCATGGTGTTTTATCACAGCAATAGAAAAATAATATACACAGGAAATTGGGAACTTAAGGTTTGAGCAACAAGCACCCTTACCTGTTGAGCCAACTCACCATCCAGAATTCATTGTTGATATAGAATAAGAAACCCACCAGCCATTTTGGAGTCACCAATCTATATGTGTGAAGAAAAGATTCATGCATCTAAAATGTCATAGGAGATTTGACTAACTAATAGGTAATTAGCTTAGAGGTAGCCAGATATTTTCATTTTGGATTTTGTGGATAACTGGGGAGAATGGAAGTAAAAAGTCAAGAAATGGGAGTTAGAGAGTTGACTCAGCAGCTAAGAGCATTTGTTTCTCTTTTAGAAGAACTGTACTCAGTTCTCTGAACCTACATGGCAACTAACACTATTTGGACGTCTAGATCAGGGTCTGATGCCCTCTTCCAGCCTCTGTGGGCACAAGGTTAAACATGGTTCTTATACATAAGTGTTCTTATATACAAAAAAAAAAAAAGCTCACCCACATAAAATGAATGATAACTTTGTTTTTTAAGTGAAAATACAAGACAGATGAAAGTTTCTAGAAAGCATGTGATCAAGTATTTAGATTTATATCCTTGAGAATGAGAAGCAATTACAAATTATGTAATCAGGGTAACTTAGCTAGTCAAAGAAAAAGAGCATAAACTCATACTGATGATGGATTTTGCCTGTGTCTTGTTATATGACAGCCCAGGAAAGCATTTCCCATAACAAAGAAGTAAACATATTTCATGGTACAATCAAATTAGTAATCTGAATTACTTTTCCACAAAAACATACAGAAGTCAGTACCTTATTCATTTCTCATTTGGTGTGGTAATTCACTCAACCACTTATTACTTTATTCACTCAAGAACAACGGAGTGCTCATTGCAGCCTAGCAGCATAGGCACTGGTCATAAAATAGTGAGGCGGAACAGTCCTTGAGATCAAGAAAGCCTAAGCATCCTCCAGATATTTCCAACCTATTCAAAGAAAACTAATTTCTTTAAAATAAAATCCAATGTGGCTATCTTGCCAAAATAGCCTATATGTTTTTACCAAATTAACAACCTGTTCATGATATGATATACCACACCTGTTGTTCAGATATCACATATCACATCAATTTTCTGGAACACTCCTGACTTTATATCTCACAGCTGCAGTTTTACTTTAACAGAAAGGCATTAAAGAATACATTTTCGCTTCCGAGAGTCTCATGCATCCTAGGCTGGTCTTGAACTCAGTATGTGGCTGAGGATTACCTTGAACTTCAGATCATCCTGCCTCCAGAGTGCTAGTTTTACAGGAATGGGCACTACAGACCATGTCATCGTCCTGGCATCCACGAATCGAGCTGATGTTTTGGACAATGCTCTGATGAGGCCTGGGCGACTCGATAGGCATGTCTTCATTGATCTTCCCACTCTGCAGGAGCGGCGGGAGATTTTCGAGCAGCACCTGAAAGGCCTGAAGTTGACCCAGCCGAGCAGTTTCTACTCCCAGCGACTGGCAGAGCTGACACCAGGATTCAGTGGCGCCGACATCGCCAACATCTGCAATGAGGCTGCCCTGCATGCTGCACGGGAGGGGCACACATCTGTCCACACGTTCAACTTTGAATATGCGGTGGAGTGTGTCATTGCCGGAACTGCTAAAAAGAGTAAGATCCTTTCCAAGGAGGAGCAGAGAGTGGTTGCCTACCATGAGTCTGGCCATGCCTTGGTTGGTTGGCTGCTCGAGCACACAGAAGCTGTAATGAAGGTCTCCATAGCACCTCGAACAAACGCTGCTCTGGGCTTCTCTCAGATGCTCCCTCCGGACCAGTACCTCTTCACCAAGGAACAGCTGTTTGAGCGGATGTGCATGGCGCTAGGAGGTCGCGCGGCTGAGGACATCTCATTCAGCAGGGTGACCTCTGGGGCCTAGGACGACTTGAAGAAGGTCACCCGCATTGCCTACTCCATGGTGAAACAGTTTGGGATGGCACCTAGCATTGGGCCTGTCTCCTTTCCTGAGGCACAAGAGGGCCTCATGGGCATTGGACGGCGTCCCTTCAGCCAGGGCCTCCAGCAGCTGATGGACCATGAAGCCAAACTGCTGGTGGCTAAGGCCTACAGACACACCGAGAAGGTGCTGCTGGACAACCTGGACAAGCTGCAGGCGCTGGCGAATGCCCTTCTGGAAAAGGAAGTGATAAACTATGAGGACATTGAGGCCCTCATTGGCCCACCACCCCACGGGCCAAAGAAAATGATCGCACCACAGAAATGGATTGATGCTGAAAAGGAGAAACAAGCCTTGGGGGAGGAGGAAGGTCCGGCTCCTTAGCCTCCACCTCCAAGGCCCAGCTCCACTTTCCTCAACTGCACCTGCAGTTAATTTGGAACTTGTTGGCCAGGTGCCATCAGCCTCTGGGAGTCTTCTCACCTGAAACTTGAATCTCAGCCTCTGTCGGCTCTCTCTGGTTTCTCATGAAGACTTCTGATATCTATTTATTGATTCAGGATTAGTAAATCGTTGGCAGAGACAAAAAAAAAAAAGAATACATTTTCACTGATTCTTTTCAATGAGTTTTCACCGTACCCAGCATTGTATGTTAACCAGCTTCCTAGATATCCTTCTAGCAAGGACTCAAAACCTTCTGTTGTGGTCACAGGCTGATTTCATAGATGCACGCGTAGGACATAAAGTTGCAGTACGCCAGGTGATATAGATGACCAGCATTCTGTCACTTTGAACAGAGAAGAATGCTTTTGCTTCTTAGTTTAAAGAAATACAGTAGGAGGTGATCATTCACATTACATAAAAGAACCCAGAAGGATCCAAACTCCTTCACATAGATTCATATGTCAACTGCTCTATGAAAACTAATACATTTAACACTCTATGTAATACCTCCCAACCTCTGGGAAAACAACAAATGGGTTATTTAAACTCAGCTTGTGCTTAGGGGAATTCTTTCTTTAAAAGAACAGCTTTTACTGAAAAAAAAAAAAAAAAAAAAAAGGTTAGAACTTCATGGCCCCGAGGTAACTTACTGCCTGTTTCTTAGTGTTACCACAGTTCTCCTAATTGATGGATAAAAAGCCAACAAAGAAGAGCCGTGCATGGAGTACCATAGCCCTGGAAGGAAATGAGATATGAGAGTCATAAAGTTGAATTTTCTGTAGAAAACACTGAGTTATTTACCTCTTGATAATTTAGAATACTAGTAAATTATTTTACTTAGTATAAATATCCTTGAAGGTTCTAATGTAAAAATGTCCATAAAATGAGATCTGAACAACGCCATTTTTCTCCCATTATATACTAATACAATCAAGAAAAGGAAATGTTTATACTCTTAAAATGCTAGGACTTTCATCATCTATGGCTTTCTAAGAACCTTTCCTTGTTTCTCCCACTTACTAAAAATTGTACAAAGGGCCCAGTTAGTCTCATTCTTGCGTACTTCCTGAATCACACTATGCCACCTTGTTACTTGACCACAAAGTACTAACAGTAAACTAAAACCTCAATCCTTAGAAGACTTTTATCCTATGAATCTTTTTTGAAAACTGTATGACACCTCATCTACTCCGTTACTTATCCTTCAAAAGACATAGGATTCAAAGTACGACTCCTGTTTCCATTTTCCTCCTTATTTCATCCCAAATGTGACTTAAAATTGAATCACTATCTTAATTAACTATGTCCTCTTCTTCGGGACTTATATTCCATTGTTTACCAAGTTTTCTTGGTGATTCTTTCATCTTCTTTGCTTTTTACAAAGTTGTTGCCTCATCAAAGGCCTCTTAGCTGATGCTTGGTGAGTACAGATTAATGCTGAGTATTCAGGTCTTATTTCCTTTCTCATTCACACTTCGCAGCTCTCTAGATGGATCTGTCTCGTTGTTCTTATCCCTCAATTCTCTTCTTTAAAGGAAACAAATCAATTTGTTGATAACATCATTTATTAAAATGCCTTCTCTTGTTAGCCTGAGTCTTCCATAACGTGTCCCCACCTAACCTGATATCATCATTCCTTCAAATTGTTTCTAAGTAACTGAGAGTTTGAATACAGCAAAATTCACATTTTAAGCAGATTCTTATAGCCACTGGCCTGTGGACCCAATCTGTAACAATACCTAATCTAGCACATACTATGAATTGAAGAGAAAGTGGAAAGCATAAAATATTTAACATGTTAAATTATATAAATTCATTTTCCACATCCATATATAAGATACATCTGAGTATAGTCATGTTTGCTTGATAGTGACTGTCTATGGCTGACTTCATACCACAATGACAAACAAAACTATGAGGTATATTGATGTTTCTCTGCTCTGAGTTTGAACATAAGCACTGCCATCTTTTATCAAAGCAGTTGTGATAACTTGTAGGAGACCACACAGAAAAGAACATGTTAGAATTCTCTTGAAAAGAACAGGCTATGGCTTACCAGTCCGTCCCCTCCTTGGAATTATAGAAAAGATAAAAGATAACTTACTGGGTTAGATCTCTGCTGGTGTAGCTTCCCAAATGGATCCCCTAAACCCTTTATTAGTGCAGTGCTTTGCCACTTGTCCATGCTGTAGGTGGAACTCTTCACTGATGGTAAGTATCCTCAGGGACTTGTAGGTAGGGAAGCTGTCTTTGAGTCACCCATGCATGACCCCGTGAGTACCTTCAACACTGTTTTTGAGCAGAAAACTCTTATCTGTCTGTTGGTGCCCTGACTATAAGTAAATAGATATTTATTCATATGTCCTCAGGAAAAAATAACAACTTCTCCACAAAGCCTATAGCGTTAAAGCATCAATATCTGGCTTTTTAGATAAATATTATCATTCCCTAGTTTACAAGAATTAAAGTAATTAATGGTGAGCATTAGCATAAATAAAGGATAGATAGATAAATAGATGTTAGATTGTTAGATAATTTTTTTTTTACTTATTTGGAATAATAGATACTATTTACATTATCTTAATATATATTTTATTAAAATAAACGTTGTTTCATTAAACTTTGAAAAATGTTTTTTGAAAAAAGCCATTAACACTTTGGATTTAATGGAAAATAATAAGGGGATGAGAGGAGATGATGAGGATGTATAACCCAGGAATGAAGGAGACTTTAGCAGAAAAGATGGTGATGGGGCAGGTAGCTCAGTTTTAAAGATATAGATGAGGGAAAGCAGGATCAAACACTGTGCAGAAGTGTGGAAGGGACCATTCCTACACCTCACTGTTTTCTGCCTGCTGTCTTTTGTCTCATTAAAAAAGAAACAAAAATACTAATTATTGACTCTTACCTGTATAATTTAAATATATTATCAGCCAATCTTCACACAACTCGTAATTAAAATCTCCTTAGCTATAGTTGAGAAAGGACCAAAAGAAATGTGTAAGGGACCGAGCTGCCATTGTAACAGGCGCAAGGGTAAAGTACATAATGTGGAGACCATGCTGTCTTTCATTACTTTTCAGTCATGTGCACTGCATTCAAGAGACTCTCTTTGGGGCTGTAGGAAATGGTGTGTTTTAAAAGTTACGGTGTAAAACTGTCAAATCAGAATGCTGCTCATCTCTTACTGTCCTCACAAGCTTCCTACGAAATGTAGGTGTTGATTTACAGAAGGCATCTTTTCATCAGAGACTCCACTGGCATGGGGAAGCATACTGCACTGGCGGGTTTCCAGGCTGCAGGGGACTGTGATTAAACATCACTCTGTTAGTGAACATTGCTGACCTCTTACTAGGTCAGCCCTTCCTTTCTCACTATCACACTGTAATGAAGGCACAAGTAGCATACTTATTTCTATCATTAATAAGTCTTGTATAGGCATGTTTTAAGTAATGCCCCCAAGTTCCAGCATGATGCAAGCAGGGGATCCAGGACACGAACAAAATGGTACAGGTCTAGGCCATTCTGCTAACTTTCTTTGATAGACTGACAAAATCTTTTGAGCATCTCAATGTATGGGAGGCACCAGTACATGAATACATGAGTAACCCATTCCTGAAAGGAAAAGATTACTTTTCCTTGTGTCTTACTTAGGGTTTCTGTTTCTATAAACAGACACCAGACCATGGCAACTCTTATAGAAGAAAATCTTTTAATTGAGGTAGCTTACATTTTCAGAGGTTCAGTTCATTGCCACATGGTGGCCTGTAGGCAGACCTGGTGCTACAGCAGGAACTGAGAGTTCTTAATATTGCATAGCCAACAGGAAGGGTCTCAGACACTGGGCATGGCTTGAACATATGTGACCTCTAAGCCCTCCTCCACAGTGACACACTTCCTCCAATAAGGCTGTACCAACTTTAACAAAGCCACACCTCCTGATTGGTGACTCCCTTTGAGTCTATGGGGCCATTTTCTTTCAATCCACCACATCTTGTTATGACAACAGTTTGAATATATGATAAGTGATTAAATTATTAATTCAGTTCTCAAAGACAGAGCAGTGCACCATCCCATTTAACAAACATACGGGTGTATGAACATGTGCAAATACACACTTACAATCAAGGGGGTAACATGTGTTTTTGCAGTCAGAAAGATCCTGTGCAGGCTTATCAACTTCCCATTAAGTAGGAACTGTCCTTATGATCAACTTTCCTGCTCTAAGCACAGAAGAGAGCTTTAGGTTCAAGGAGTATCCCTCCCTGGGCAATGCCCCCATCCCGTTTTGCTCACCCACAGATCTTGGTACTGTTAACATAAAAGGTTTACTGTAGTTAGTAGACTGTGGATGGTGCCTAATGAACAAACAGCCTGGAGTAAGCACGGTTCACGTAGTCCCCAAGCACTGATGAACACGGAGATTGAGCTATCTCTTCAACCTTATTACTGTCTTTAAGTCGATTTCAAGATATGAGATTTGTGAAATGAAGAGCAGGAACTTCACTGCTGCTGGCATCCCATTTGTCAGGGGCCTGCTGAGGATATATTATCCACAGATGTAATGCCTTTCGCAGGAGGAACACTTCAAAAGACAAATGCTAATATTACATTGTAATATTTAGACACTCTTTTCTTGGAGGTCAGTGTAAGGACAGCAAGTAATTACACCATAACACGGGCCTCTTAATTACAGAGGTTCATATTATCTCTATTCAATGGGGTCATTTTTATATTATAGCAATTCCTCATCTCTAGGAAACACTTTCACTTGCATCAGAATTCTGAAACCTGAAATCTTATGTAAATGCATCTACTTAACAAGGTGATGCCCTCCCTTAAATGTTGTGCTCAACTCTAAGTTACAACATAAACATGAGGCTCCTTTTAAATGAGAGAAGCAGGTTGGTTTTACTATGCGGAGAAATAGCAAGAATAATAACAATGGTAATAACAATAGTCTATTCTGTTATTT